ACACCTTTACAAACAAGTTTCTGGATGTAGAATGCCTACTGAGACAACTAGTACTACTAATTTATTTTTTTTACCCCAAGTCAGACCAAAAAATGCAAAAGGCCATATTCTGCAACATCTTTGCAATTCCATGCATGCCCTGGAGAGCAAGTCTTCAACTTTGTGGAAACATTAACACCTCTTTGGTGAATTTTATGTTCAGATTTATTTCTTCCAGCACACATTAGATATTCCTACCCCCTGCAGAACAGAGCATAAAAGATTTCTGGGAAGCTGGCCTCTGGCTTTTCACAAAAGCAGAACAGACATGCCCTGAAGCCCTCCTACACGATACCAAACACTGTGCATTCAACAGACCTGCTGGTTAATGATCTCGACCATAAGTAATGTTTTAACCTCAGGATGGTTTTTGTTTGCTTCAAAAGCCACAAAGCCAAAGAGGAAGTGTAGGAGAACGTGGGCAGGACAGTGGCCAGGAGCCTCATGACCTCATCTTTTTCCGCCACATGGGGATTGGTGGCTGTGCTTGGGACAGGGTTTAAATTCCCAGAGCTCAGAGATGTCAGGCAGCAGGGGACGAGGGGAGAAAGCCAGAGCTGCTGGGAGCCAACTGCCTGGAGCTGCTGCTGGGATCACTAAGAGTGCTCTTGTGGCTGACTCCTCCACCACCAGAAAAGGTAATTTTTTTTGCTTTTTCACCTGACATCTGCAGCTTTAGCCTAGGAAACACTGAGCAGATCTTTGAAAACTGCTTCACTGGGCAGGGATGTTTGATATTTCTCTGTGGAAAAAGGTGTGCTTTTATAGAAGCAAGGTTGCTTTAGCAATGCCAGGGATTACACATAATCACAATTTTAAATTTGTGTGCTGATAGATGCTGGGATAAGGTTACTGAAAACCCTGCCACTGAATCATGCACTAGAAACTCAGAACTGCTGCTTGAACACAGAAAGCCTTCTTTCTCGTGTAACCACTGCCTGGCAGTGTCCTTGTTTCTCCTGGCAGGCTCACAGTTTGTGCTGCAGAATCCTGAGTGGATGGGATAGTCACACCTCTCTGTGAAACTTGAAATTGCAATACCTCTATTAGAGTGTCCTGTCTCAGGGCCAGACTTACTAATGAATTTTAAATGTCCTAAGCAGCTTCCTTTCCTGCTTTCACTTGCCAAAGTTTTGAATTACTCTTGTTCATCAGTAAATAGGTTTAAATTCTCAGGGATGTTCCTTATTCTGGGAACTGGTCAGTAAGCACTGGAATTTACTGTATCTCTCCTAATTTCAGCAGGAATAATTTATTAAATTGCTGAAGCTGCACTGTGAGAGGCTATGGGAGCAGCTATTTCATTTGATCTCTTGTTTGGAACCACAGGTCATTTTGTTCAAACTTCTGGAGGGGGAAATGCAGGTCTATCAATAAGAGCAGTTTATGTTCATATAAACTGACTTTACTCAGCAACTCAAGTTAATAATCCTAAAATCTAGTTTTAAAATAGCTGACAAGAGAATACAAATTGTTTGCTTTAATCTGCCTATTTTTAAAAACAATTGTGCTAAGGGAATGAAGATAAACCAAAGCTGGTATTTATAAGAGTTTTTCACAGAGCTTTTCCTTTGCCTATGCAAGTCAGTAGACAACAGGAGTCAATTCACCTTTTCAGTGTGGTTTTTCTCACCACTGCTCAGCTCTTCTCAGCATTCACTTTCAAAATTCCTGTAGCTTTTTGAGCTGCCAAGTCATTAAAAGGTGAGTGGGAGGCGGTGATGGAGGATAGAAGAAATAAAATTAGCACGGGCAAATTGAATCCGTAGCAGGGACCTGGTCTTAGCACAGTGAAGAACACCAGGATAGAGGAAAAGCCTATAGTATTTTTGTGGTATTTTACTTTATTGACTTACTATTCCAAAATATTTTCTAGGTAAAATATCACAATGAAGGTGGCAGTTCTGTGTTTATGCCTTATCAGCATCACCGCTGCATGGCCAGTGAGTAAATCACAAACACCATCCCCAGAACTTGCATCATTTCCTTTGCACATCAGAGAGAAATACCAATAAATGTTTTTTTCTTTTTTCTCTCTTCAAGGTGATTCAATCCAAGCAGCATGCCATTTCTGCCAGCTCCGAAGAAAAATATGTAAGCTCATTTTGTCTTTCTGCTAATTTTCTTTGATAAGTACTTTTTGAATTTTTTTGCTTGTTTGTTTTCCTCGAAAACACATTTCCTGATTTAGATGCTTGCAGAACATGTCCTCACCTGGCTTTTATGAGCCAGTTTCAAAGCAGAGAGCCACTGATGTCCATAGATTTTTTCCTGTATCACGTGTCCTGGTTGTGGACTTTCATTAGTTCTATCTGTGGACCAGCACTGAAAATCTTTTTTCTTAATGAAAAATGTGTTAGTTGTTAATTAGAAAGAGAAAGGGACTGCAGTATAGCAAAATTACTCTAACCCATCTTCCTTAGTGTGGATCAAATGACAATATTTGGTGTTGGAGGAGCACCTTAATCCAATATCCTGGGGGGGTTTTGAGTGGTGTAAGCAAACTGCATTCAGTCTTTAATTTACTCCCCATTGCCAGCTGTTACCCTTGTAAAATCAATTCTTGGCTCTGAGAACCAGCTACTGCATTTAGTTCAGAGTCTTCATGATGTGGGAGATAAATCACCCTCCAAAAAGGGCCTAAGAATTAGCAGAAGTAATGATTATTAGATATAACTCCAAATCCCACTCAATAAAAACAGGCTGAGAAACTGATCTGAATTTGCCCAGGCTCTGCCAGTGAGGGAGGCACACACATCTATCTTTTGGGTACAACGTTCTTCTGGGATCATGGCTTGTTCTGAGTCCTCTTCCTACTGCAATGAATAGCTGAGGACACATCCCACACAGAAGGACTATGTACTGCCACATCTGCCTGAAAACACAGGCTGGGATGCAGCAGCTTTGCCTGCTCCTTTAAGGATTAACCCATCCCTTTTATTTTCTCTTGAAGGACTCCAGGGGCCATCACTTCCACAGATATCACGACTACCATGTGAATTCCCAGTCCCAGGAGAGTCAGCAGCACCCACAGAGTGACCTGGCATCATCTCAGCAGGTACAGGCACCTAACTGGAAGAGAAAGCAGAGCATCTTTCCATGCCAAGATTTGCAAGTTATGATTAAAGAATAGTTAGTATGCTGATCAGCTCAGCTGTTTGTGCCTTTGTGTACTAACGTTGAGCTTCGTGTTGCTTTCAGACTCTTTACTCCTCAGAAGAAAGCGTGGATGTCCCAGAACAACAGGTAAGTGTTTCGAAGGACATGTCAGCTGAATGCTGCAGGGCAGCCAGTGTGTAGAAGCTCTCATTTTCCTCACTCAGGTGTGGTTCTTGCAGTAACATCTCTCCTAAAATAAAGCAAAGCTCCAGGCAGGGTGAGGTGAACTCAGTGCAGTGCCTGCACACAGCTCCCCAACAGTGCCTAAGCTCTGGGTGAATGGCACAGATACCAGTCTGCACCTCTCACATCCATGTTCATTTGCCTGATTCATAATAAATGTTTTCCAGCACTTTCCTGACGTGTCAAGCAAGAGCCACGAAGATGTGGATGATGATGACGATGACGATGACAACGATTCCAATGACACGGATGAATCCGAAGAGGTTGCCACGGGTTTTCCCACAGAAATTGCAGTAACTGTTGAACCATTCCCCACTTTCCCTTTCACCCGGGGAGACAATGCTGGCAGAGGTGACAGTGTGGCCTACAGGATGAGGGCAAAAGCTGCACTGCTGAGGGCAAAAGCTGCACTGTTGAAGTCTGTCAAACTCCACAAAGCTGCCAAAAAGGTAAATAGCACTGAGCAGTGGTGCCCGTGTTCTTGGAAACGGGAAGTGAACTTGAAAATGGGCATGGCATTTTAGAGGAGTTGGTTTTGAAAACTGGTATGGGGAAAGTAGGCATAAGTTAAGGAATGCATTTCCTTTCTCTGGATAGCACAGATCAGGGGGTCTCGATGGTTGCTGATGCACTGGGGTCGGAGTGCTGTGCATAACTGCAGTTTGCACTGTCACGATATACTTGCACACGTGAAATCCGAGGCCAAGAGCAAATGATTGTTTCTCATAAAGTGAAAGGTTTATGTAACTCCATAAAACACCAGAGTATCTCCAGGCAGATGTCCATCATGCAGGCTTTGAGCATCCCCGCAGCCCGAGCAGCCTGCGTTAGCATTTGATGGAGCAGTTCTCAGGAATGACGATACCTCTTGCTCTGCTCTCTAACACAGCTCATCTATGATGCCACCGAGGAAGATGAGAGCGACATGGATGCAGACAGCCAGCGCTCTGTCTCCCGGGAGGATGCTGCTCCCCGCCGCTCCCTGAAGAAGCACGCCAGCAGGGTGGCATGGTCTGACCGGAGCCACGGGCGGGACAGCGGCGAGCAGGACAGCGATCTGCGTGCCTGGAGCTTGGAAAACGACAGCCGGCACAAATCCGACAGCCACGAGGCAGAAGGCGACAGCAGCAAGTCTGGTGTCAGAGGGGACAGCCTCTCGAGCGTGGAAAGCAGGGAGAGAGGGGACAGCCACCGGAGTGTGGAAAGCAGGGAGAGCCGGGACAGCCACCCGAGCGTGGAAAGCAGGGAGACAGGGGACAGCCACCGGAGCGTGGAAAGCAGGGAGACAGGGGACAGCCACCGGAGTGTGGAAAGCAGGGAGAGCCGGGACAGCCACCCGAGCGTGGAAAGCAGGGAGAGCCGGGACCGCGTGTCAGAGGAGCTCTCTGACGATATCAGCAACCAAACCCTGGAAAGCGCCGAGGATTCTCAAGACCGCCACAGCATCGAAAGTAACGAAGTCACCCTTTAAAGGGCGACAAAAATAAGATTTCCCTTCTTTTTCAATCCCTACCTAAGGGAAGAGGGAAGTAGCTTGGCTTCGGGGAAGTGTTTGTCAATGTAGTTCGCGTGGTGACTTTTGGGGTTCGGGGCGGTCCGTGGCCCTTGGGGCTGTGCCGGCGGAGGCTGCGGGACACGGCGGGCGAGCATCGGCCCCCGGGCACGCTGCTCCCTGCGCTGCCAGGCGCTGTTTTGCTGTAACGGGACTTCAATAAAACCTCAACCCCCTGTACCTGTGTCACTGTTCACTGGGGCTCGGACCGGGCGGGGGGAGCTTTAATACTTCTTCTTAAAATGATGCGAAATCGCCGTTCCCCACAAATTTATCCAGCGCGACCTCTTGGCGAGGCCTCCTCGCACTTTCGCCGCGAGTGAGCGGGACTCCAAACACCCAGCGCCGGCCCCTGCGCCGCTCCCGCAGGGCGGTCCGGGGCTGCCTTGGAGAGGGGAGGGAAGAGGAGGAGGAGGAGGGCGGGAAGGAGGTCTCCCTCCGGGAGCCAGGGCGACTACATCTCCCTCCGTACCCCGGGCTTTCCGCCGGAGGGCGGGGCAGGGGCGGCGGGGCCGATGGCGGGCGGCGGCGGCGGCTGCCGGCGCGGGCGGGAGCAGCTGGAGCTGGAGCGGCTGGGCCAGGCGGCGCGGCCCGGCTCCTGCCCGCCGTCGCCGCCGCTCTCCGCCTGCTCGCGGCAGGCCTGGAGCCGGGACAACCCGGGCTTCGAGCCTGAGGAGGACGCGGCGGCGGCGGCGGCGGCGGCGGCGGGGCCGGTGCTGGAGATGGACGTGGAGTGGGGCAGCCGGGCCGCGTCGTCGCTGGGCAGCGGCGCTGGGGCCCCGGCGGGCGGCGGGCGGAGGGCGCGGCGGGGCCCCGCGGGGCGCGGCGGCGCTGAGGGGCCGGGCCGCCTCCCGGGGCCGCCCGACGGAGCCGCGCCCCGCAGAGCGGCCTGGGCCAAGCGCCTGGCGCGGAGACTGCGAGGTGAGAGAGCCCCGGACACGCATCCCGCACCCCGAGCCGGCACCCACAGCTCGCTGCTTCCTTTCCTTCCCCACCTCTCTGCCTCCCAAGTCTTACTCCTGGCTGCTTTCCGTGTAAAACGCTCCCGTGCAGGGGAGATTTAGGTTGGGCATGAGGAGGAATTCCTTCTCAGAAGAGGTGGCATTGGAATGCACTGCCCAGGGAGGTGGTGGAGTCACCGTCTCTGGTGGTGTTTAAGGAAAGACTGGATGTGGTACTCAGTGCCATGGTCTGGTTGACATGGTGATATTAGCTCATAAGTTGGACGTGTGATCATCTCCAGAGGTCTTTTCCAGCCTTGGCTTTCTGCTGCAGCACCAGGTCTTTGGAGAGTTGGAACAGAATGCTTGTACTTCTCTCTTTCTCAGCATCCCCCATTCTATAGAAGAGGTGGTCAGGGTGGCATGGGATACTTAGAGTGGGTTGCCGGGAGGCTGTTTGAATCACTTTTTCTTTTCAGTAGTATTGTGCAGTGCCTTGGTGCTGCCCTTGACAGTCAAGAGCTGCCTGTTGTCACAGAACTGATAGCAAAACCGGGCGCACATCAAGTGAACACTTGGGGCGTCATTCAAATCCTACTGCATTAATTCCCTACTGAGCTGGCCTTGTACAGGGCTGATTTGACAACAGCAGAGAGAATGCTGGATGGGGAGTCCTTTGGATTTAAGGTTGTGGAAGCATGTTGAATAACCCTCCTTTCTTTTCAGAGAAAATCAAAATGTCAGCTTCAAACTGTGAGGATTTTAAACAGAGAATTGGTTTAAGTGTTGATCAAAATCTTTATCGTTATAAAGCTGCAGAAAAAGCAAACCATATTTAGAAAATAAAGATTCTTCTTATGAAATGTGGATTTTCTGAAGTGGTAGATAGTACTGTTACTGGCTGCCATGGCATCAGTGGAACTATCAAAACAAACGACTTTAAGCAAGGATTTGTATCTTCTCTGATTTTGATGTGCATTCAAAGATTGCTGTAATGATTTCTCTGGCCTCGGCTGTATTGCAGCAAAATAAATCCCTCTTGAACATTGCAATATCTTAGTGGTATGCAAGTCAGACTTGCAGAGATTATGGAATAGAGCACGTTTTCTTTTTAGCAGATTTTACTGGGACCGTGTTCAATGACCCAAGTCACTTCATAACAAGAAACCAGAATAACTACCAGTAATAATTGTGTTGTGCATGAATTGGCACTGCTCTGTTTGGAGTCTCTAGTGGTGTGTTTGCCTTAGTCTGTTGCTGAGATATATTGCTGAGATATGCCTGGGAAAAGAGCTGCTTCACATGGAGAAAGTTAAGTCCTTTTATAAAAACTTTTATTTAAGTTCAGATGCGCCCTTCATCTTAGTTGTTGCCAAGAAGGGACCTCCTGTGTATGTTTTTAACTGTGGTGGAAAGCAGCAGTGTTTGTACATGAGGTGAATGTGAGAGTGGCTTTGTGGTGACCTGGCACGTGTCGCTCCTGTTCCATCTCTGTCGTGATTTGTGCAGTAGTACTGAAAACAGTTTCTGTTCATTCCTGACCTCCTTGTACAGGCAAGTGTTACTAAAGTTACTGTAGCTGGCAGATCCTTTTCTGGCTCTTTGATGTGAATGTTGCCATGAATTCCTGAGTGCCGTAAATGTCTGTGTGAGACTTGGGTGCTGCAGGGCTCCTGTATTGCTGTGGAATAGGTTACACCTTCTCTGAAGAATGTGATCCCTGTGCTGCACAGTTTAAATTGCAAGCCTGACATTATTATAGGGCACTTGAAGGGTAACTCAGAGTTTACTGCTGGAAAGAATACTCCACAGTTCTTTTGACATTCCATGGATATCCATGAGGATCTTTGAAGACTGGAAAATGGTGTGTTCAGTTTTATTTCAAGGACTACAGGAAAGTTGGCATAGATTTATATAATGAAATTCCATTGCACTAGACAGAATTCAACAAGAGGAATAATCCTTTGGATAGCACAAGTGATAGTGTCACCATGGCAAAAAAGTGCCTTTCATTATTGAAGGGCATTCAACGACAGCTTGCACTTTTACTTGCTCTGAGTTATGAAAGAAAAATGCAGAGAGGGTTTAAAGTATTGGGATTTTGGTAATTGCAACTGTTGGGGAAACTGTAACAGGAGTTACTAAGTGAATAGAAAGTCACCTACTTCAGACTATCAGTATTTTAGGTTCTTCTTTATGTGGATTCTATTCAGTCTAACATGAGTGTCTGTGAAGTGCCTTTAGTTCCTCTAGTTTTACAGATCTCTTCAGCAAGTATCCCAGATGCTTAGAGGAGAAGAGAGGCTGACTATTCTACTCTGTTAAGGAGGAAGTTACCAGAAGTTTTGATGGGTAAAAAACCAAGGTGTGTTTCCAGAGCCATCCTGGAAAGGTAATCCTGCCCTGTAGAGCTGTACTTGGTCACCCAGTGCTGCCATGTCCTCATGTGTGTCATCACTGATGCGTGCTGGGAATTTCTTGAAAGGTTTTCTTAGTTATTGTTAAGGTTAAATGAAAATACCCTTCCCAGTCACTCATTAATTGTTACTTTCATGAAGACTGCTACATACAGAATGAGTATGAGCAATTGTTAGCTGCAAATTTATTTGATAAAAGTACACAGATTCTGTCAAAGAGTTGATGAATAACAAATGTATATAAGGAAACAAAACAGTTTTGTTGCTTGCAACAGATGTCAAATCCAGCACTACTTACCCCTACTGTGTTTGGTGTATCTAAATCAATATTCTAATAAGGGAAAAAGGGGAATAATATATATATATATATATTGCAAAAATGTAACAGCTAATGAGAGCTCCTAGCTAGCTGATGGGCAAATTCATTGTTCACTTAGCACAAAGATCACTGTATGATCCCTGGTGCTGTTTGGTTGGGTTTTTTCTTTGCTGTAACTTTCTGTTCTTTGCTCACTTGACTCCTAACAATAGTCTAATATGACAGAGTTTGAGTTTGGAAGCTTTCTGCTTCTGCTCACCACATTTCTTATTGGTGAGTAATGTGCTGACAGCCGGGACTTGGCTTTCTCGCCAGCTTAGCTCACTGGCTTTTCCAGCCTTTTCTTCCTCTCTTCCATTATGTTTTCCTGCCTTTATTATGAGGGTTGCTAGTGCAACGTAGTGCTGTGCTAGAGGCTGAATTTGTTGAGTTATTATTATTAGTGACTCTGTAAATGTTCTTGGATTTATGTTTTTGTCTTCAAGAATGACCTAATGGGGAGGATTTGGCGTTCAGTGTAGTAAAGTTGCAGCCTTTATCTGCAGAATTTCAAACTTGGCCTTAAAGAACAGCTTTGAAAAAGCTCTCTTATCTTGGGCCTGACACTAGGGAAGGCCCTAAGTTACTAATTGAGCCATGTGAACAGAGATTAATGCTAAAACTGTTAGTGCTTGCTGTGCCTATGCAAGAGAAGTTTTAAGGTTTATGTCACAACTTAAAAATGTGGTAGCTGAAGGGCTTCAAGAAACATCTAATACATTATTTTTTTTCTCACTTCTGCAGGTAGAGGGAAGAGCTTCCTTACTGCCTTCTCTGTTAGCAAACAAAGGTCTGCAGCAGGCAGCTTAGCCCTTTGTCTTAGTCTTACAGCAGTGGTTGCAGATTGACTGAACTCGTGCTTCATTGTCAGCTTTATAATGTGTTTTGGCTATCCCTTGTTACTGTTCCATTTGAAATTACTGTGGTATGTTTGATGGATCCAGGATTTCTCCTAGGGAGTTTGAGGTTACTACATTTCCATCTACTGAAAATGTAAAGGATTTTGAAAGTTTGGCTGTTTAAAACACCTGAAAAGGATGGAAGTTTACTGCAGTTCTGTAGGAGTGAATTTTTAGTTTTAAATGCTTTTTCTCTCATCAGAAACTAAGGTCAAATTGCCTTGCTTTAGGTTTAAACGAAGAGAAGCTCCATGAAGAGAACAGTCTGAGCATCAGCACCTGCTCCTAGCTTTTTTTTCTGTTCTGTACTAGACATAGGAAATAAGGATGGTGGTAACTAACTGCACTTTGTTTCAAGGTGGTTGTTCCTTTTAGAGACTCCATTTAAAATATCCTTTTGCTATTCTGTTACCCATTCAGAAGGGATCACCAAAGTTCAATAGCTTCTCTCCCTGTCATTTTGGGAATGTGAAGCCTTATATGAAGTGAGGAACAGGCAGAAACAGTTCAGCTGATGCAGTTGCTCCAGTTGACAGCTAGACTGGACAGCAGCTTGTAATTGATAACTCCTTGTTGTGCAGGGAAAGAAGCCATGCAGAAATGCTCACCAACATTCCTGCTGTGTCTCTTGCCTATCTGGGAGAGGAAGGTTGTGATTTGGTGTTTTTAAAATATATTTGACTCAAGTATCCTGCTTTCGTGTAGAAAATTCAGACTGCTCCTGAAGGCTCAATAATGAATGTGCATTTTCATACATCGAACAATGATTTTCATGTTTGAAAGAAAAAGTACTAAAGCACTACACTTCCATTTCTTGACGAATGGCTGTCTGTGCATGCCTCTGTATCCTTGTGTCTGTTTTTATACCATGTGGTTCTAAGTGACAGCACTTCTGCAAATCTTCCACAGATTCTCTTGGAGTTCTGCTGAGCTGTTGCTAAATTATTATGGTATGTCATTGATTATTGAAACTGCCTCAGGCCCCATTCTGTCTACAAACAAAGCTCCTCTTGCTTAAACTTAAATCAATTTAAAATCCGTAGAAGAACCTGCAGCAACCACAAAGGTTTGAGCATTCAACAGCACTTGCTGTGTCACTTGTGTATCTGTACCAGACATCTGTGCACATCATTATATTTATCTTTTTTTCCTTTTAAGGTCTGTGGGGGACAAGACTCATGGAAGAGAGCAACACCAGCAGAGAGCGGTACTTGAAAAGTGTTTTACGGGAGCTGGTCACGTACCTGGTTTTCCTCGTGGTCCTGTGTGTCTGTAAGTACTGCTCAGCACCAGGGCATCCAGCTCTGTGCTACCTGCTTGCTGTGATTCCAGAAGGAATGTTGTTTGATGTAGGAGAAGAATTAATGGGCAGATGTCTAAGCAAATAATAGGAATCAAATATTTCTCTTTTTCTGCGCATGGACTGTTGCTTGAGACTGAAAATACTCCAACTTTGTGCACCTTTACAAGTTTAGAATCTTTAGGCAGGATAATAATATACTTGTTCTTTGTTTTTAGAGAGCATTGTTGTAGTACCACATTGCAGTGTAATACTGCTGCTACGCTTTTTGAAATTGCTGAGCAGAAAGGGGAATTATGAAGAGGAAAAGTCAGTCATCCAGGACAAATAATTGAAATAAATCACCACATTTGAAGTTCATCAGCAAGGTTCTGTACAGACCACAGCTGGAGACTTCTGTGGTTTGTGCCATTTGTTGTCTTGATACCATATGAAGTATCATAACACTAAAGAACACAAAACCGAGTAATATTCAATTTACCATGCAGGAAAGAACTTCTTGTGGAGTTACAAAATATCTGTTTTATTTGTTTCCTAGGGAGAAAACCAATGAAATGTGTACATTAAGTTAGTGTATCTTTAGAAAGCCAGTATGTTTCAAGTCTCCAGTTTTTAGTGTGGGCAGTTCTGCCCTAAAGGGCTGAAATATTGGTGACACTTGACTTGCCATTTATGATCAGCTGTAATACAACCAGGTGATGTTTTAAATTTTTGTGAGAGGGAATCTTGGAGTGGAAAAGCAAAGGCAAAACTACATTGTTTTCTCACTGTCTCTGAGCACAAGTCTGCTTTGCTTGGATGTAGCAGAATTACTAAAAAGCCCAAATTTTTTACCATTGACACAATTGTTTTGATGTTGTACTACAGGCATGTTTATCTATTAAATATCGTGGGTTTTTGCCTCCTGAGTCATTTAAGAATGCTCATAAGCAAAGCAGTGCAAGGCTGCTTGTGGCTGGCACACTGTAGCACCAGGAGAAGTGGAGCAGTGAGGGGCCTGCCTTAAAGTGAAATTTGTTTCAGCAGGAGAAGTTTGACTCTTAATGGGCTGTTAACTATTTGTTTTGCTACAGAAAAAGATTTTTGCTAACAGAATAAAGGAAAAATATAGTGTGTTAAATATCTAGAGATATTGCTAACTCATTAGTATTTTTTTAGTATCCTTTTTATTTTTCATAGCAATAACTTTAGGTCAGTCTGGTCTGTGGCTTGGCATGCCCTTGGAGAGTGCTTCCCAGTGCAGGCTAAATGCTGAGAGCATTTCTTGCTCTCTTGTGGTTTGGAGAGTACATATTTAGAGAGAACCCAGGTATTGTACAGTCACCTGATACATTCCATATGCACAGCAGAACTCTATTAAAAATACTTCTTGCTCTCCAGTTGTTAAGGGAAACAAAAAGTTTATAAATTTTATAAAATTGCCAAAACTGACAGTGATTGCTCCATGTTGGCCTAATCTTTCAGACTCCTCTTTGTTTTAGCCATAGAGTGGTTCAAGTATTTACAGGTGGTAACAATACCCATGCCAGAGACTTATTTCCTCAACCCATCTTAGTTTTGTACATCATTTTATAATTTATGCTCTGTGGCCCTCAGCCCTCAGCCATGTCTTTGGCCCCAAAGGAGGCCAAATGTGAGGAAAAGGTGTAACACAGTCATTTATTTTCTGTGGGGAGATTCTCTTAAAGACACTGCACACCTGTGCTGGAGGTTCATTGCCTAATCCATGTCATTCCCAGTGCCCTGCAGTATCTTGCTTGACTGTCATTATCTGCTCAAGCAGAGCATAGTTGTCCTGAGGTGTTAGTGCTATCTGTGCCAGTTCTCCATGCATGCCTTGGATAGCACAAGCCACCTTAAAAGGCACTGCCTGCCTCTCTTCAGGCTGCTGAATTGTGCCTTTGTTTTCCTTGAGGTTAACTTTGGTAGAAGCATTAATAATAGAATGAGGTGTGGGAAGGAGAAGAGAGTATTATAAATTGATTGATTGATCAGGCTGCCTTCACTGCTTTTTGTGTTTTAATCACAGTTGACAGATAAATGCTGCTTGGTGTAGATTTTGTTTTGGAGCCTAATAGTTCCACTACAAAATCTGTACAAATACAACCTGATGTATTCAAAATAAATAAAGTACTTTTTTTTTCTTTTCATTTTTTTTTTCTCTTTCCATCATTCCTTTATCTTTCACTCCTTACCAAATCTTCTGCAGTGACTTATGGGACAGTGAGTTCCAGTATGTACTATTATACAAGAGTTATGTCACAGCTCTTCCTGGAAACACCTGTGTCAAAAACAGAGAGAACTGATTTCAAAACTTTGTCCACAATGGATGACTTCTGGAAGGTAATCTAAACCCAAGTTTTTATTTCTCTGTTGCTGTGGTTCACTGGTTCTGTCATGAACTGTAAATTTAACCTGCAGGATCTTATTTCCTAACGTGGTTGCACAGGCTCGTGCATGAAGAGCTTTGTGCACAATGTCAAAGCTATGGAACAAAGTAGGCTTTTAATATATAAAAATTTAGAACTCAAATAATGCTGGTGGGGCAGGGTTGGGCAAGTTTGTGAGATGTCTTTGGAGGACAGGTAATAGTAAAGTCTTATTTCAGAAAAATTACTAGCTGCAATTCTAACACTTCTGTGGAATGAAGGTCTACAAAAACAGTGCTGGCAACATGCAAGCTAAAATTCTGTCATCTTCCCCAGTTCACAGAAGGCCCTTTGCTGGATGGTCTTTACTGGGAGATGTGGTACAACAACAAAACCATGGCAGAAAACAAAAGCTTCATTTATTATGAGAACCTGCTCCTCGGGGTGCCTCGCATTCGGCAGCTGAAAGTGAGAAATGGTTCGTGCTCCATACCTGAAGATTTAAAGGATGAAATCAAAGACTGCTATGATGTCTATTCTGTAGCTAATGAAGACACTGCTCCTTTTGGACTCAGGAATGGAACTGCGTACGTAGCATTCCTGTAGATACAGACTCCTTTTTAATGTACTTGTGACCCATCTTTCTATCTTAATTTTACTGTGTAAGTCAAATTAATTTTGTAACTTCTTTCTCAGGGGTTGCATCAGAACTTTGTAGCGAGCACCCCTTGAATTAAAGCCTATTTAAGTAACTAATACATGTTTTTTGGTCAGATTTTGTTGGTGTCTGTTTTGTCAGTTGTAAGTTGAAGGTGGAAAGACCAATGTGCTCTCTTTCACTTGTGAACTAGCTGGACATACACCAATGAGAAGGATTTGAATGGGAGCAGCCACTGGGGCTTGATTGCCACATACAGCGGGGCTGGTTATTACCAGGACCTCTCGAGGACCAGAGAAGTGACAGCCCTGCAGATTGCAAGCCTGAAGAAGAACCTGTGGCTGGACAGAGGGACCAGAGCAACCTTCATTGATTTCTCTGTGTACAATGCAAACATCAACCTATTCTGCGTGGTCAGGTATGAACAGAACCACACTGTCACACAGTGTGGGTTGTAGACTTGGGGTTTTCTTGTGTGTCTTTGTTTTGGGGACATAGGTAAGTGTATATTTAGTGTAAAGGGGGCAGAAAGCTGAAGTTCCCTGTCAAAGAAGTGAGACTCCTCATGGAGTCTGTCCTGGCTTTCTTGGTGCCACAATGCCTTGGGTGCAGGAGACCTCTCTAGGGAGCTGGCTTATTCAAGTAAATACATGGGTATAGTGCATCAGCTTTTGGTTTAGACAGCATGAAACAGGCACAGCTGTAAACAAATCTTTCTGTCTCTGTTTCTTACTGCTCCTGAAAGTTTTTGAGTTTTAGTCAAAATTGAGTGTGGTCATGTTTACAACTTTTGTGGAGTGTCTTCTCTGAATCATATGCGGTTTGTTTCTATTATTTAGTTAATTATACAAGTAAATCCAAGTGTCTTTTAGTAGTACTTTTCATCAGTTCTAGTTAAATTAAATTATTATATTTTTTGCCTTTTTTTAAATGCAGGTTGCTAGTGGAGTTTCCAGCCACTGGAGGCCTGGTTACATCTTGGCAGTTTCAGCCTGTGAGGTTGATTCATTACATCTCCACTTTTGATTTTTTCCTGGCAGCCTGTGAAGTGTCCTTCTGTCTTTTTGTTCTGTATTATATGGTGGAAGAGGTTTTAGAAATTCGCATTCATAGACTGTGCTACTTCAGAAGTCTTTGGAATTGCCTTGATATCCTTATCATTGTGGTAAGTAACCTTTGTTATCAGGCTGAAATTACTTTCTAAAGTGCACTTTGTGGGAGACATGAATTACTCAGTGTTCCTATTGTGGTTTTAAGATATAGGACCATCATTAGGAAGGATACTTACAGACTATTAGGCCATTCATTCAGTCAGACAATTTTAGTCTGTGTTACAATGTTGGTATGTTTTGCAGAGTTGGTTGTTCTGTCTTCAGTGGTTTCAACCAGGTGCAAACTTAGAGTATTTGTCCATCATGCTTTTTCACAGTTTTTATTTATGCAGACTTAGCTTTTATTGGAGGTGACAAAATTGCCCTCTCTTCTACGTATCTGGTACAGATTATTGCACTGTCTTTCAAGTAAGAAAATCATCTGCTTTGAAGAAGTGATTTGCATTTCAAGGAATGAGTCTGGGATTTGAATATGTTTGCAAAGAACCACAAGGAGATTTATTGTAGTATTAAATACTCACCAGCTAATACCAAGTTTGAAAAAGTGCCTCAGAATTATAGAGTGCTAGCAGCTGTCTAGGTTAAGTGAACAGTATTGCACATCAGTAATCTTAGTGCACCAGAAAATATGAGCTTTGGATATAAAGCTGCATAATATAATTCTCTCTGGACACAGATCAGGCTGTGCTTACTAAAAGTATACAAAGCCAGAAATGCTGAAACAGTTCCAGTCCCACACTCGTATTATATCTTCAGGCTTGGATGAATCAAAAGTTTCAAGTCTTGAAGCCAATATTTGTAATCCAGGGAAATCATATTTGTATCACAGTGCTTTGTAAATGAAGGGCTGCTTAGGATGATGTTTACATGAACTGTGTGCTGTTTTTTGCACTTAATGGTTGGGCAGGGATAAGATGCTTTGCTGTTACAGTCACTGAAGAGTATTCAAATGTGAGTGTAAAATTCAGTTCACACAAGAGGTCAGAATTCTATGTTTATGCCTTGCCTGAGTGGCATTGTTTAAATGTAGGATTATGTACTTATGAATCTCTATATATGGTAAGTGTTCACTTACAGTAATGAACAGCACATTTGCAGAAGTCAAAGCAAGAAACCTTCGTGGTAAAACTTCAGCTTCTCTGCTGTTGCTTGTTCTGGGCAATACTGCTCAGTCTGTGCTCTGGAGAAACTGTCGTACGTTTTTGGCTACTGCTGTCTTCCTGCTCTTTGTTCTTTTTCACCTTTGTCTGTTTGAGTTATCATATTCCCTTCCTTATAATTTCTTCTCTGTGACAGAATCAGTTCTCTAATCCTGCTAGGTGTCACTGTCATCTTGTTCTTCACCTGTGGCAAGGAAATGACTTCTAAATTTTCTTACTCACAGACTATTTGTCTGTAGTCCAGGACCATAATGGTTTTACTGTGAAATGCACGAAGTTCCTCATATCTTAACTTTATCTGACATAAATGTCTCAAACAAGTTGTTTTAAAACCCTAATCACCTTTTGTAAATGTGTGTGTTTCTTTTGTCCTCAGCTGTCTGTGGTAGCTATAGGAATTAGCATCTATAGGACATCAACTGTTGATATGCTCCTGAAGAAGCTGCTGGAAGATCAGAACTCATTCCCTAATTTTGAACCCTTGGCATATTGGCAAATGCAGTTCAACAACATTGCTGCAGTCACAGTGTTTTTTGTCTGGATTAAGGTAATTCCAAGACACACATCTGAATTCTAACATTAGAATGTAAGCAGCATTCTGAGTTTCATGAGACACATTATTTGAGGTTTACTCATGTTTCTTTTGAAGTCAATCATGTGAGAAAGTCAGAGCAGTGATAACTTCTTGCAGATGAAAAGCAAAGTTGTAATTTGCCACAGGTTTAGTCAGCTGTTGTTTAGGTCTAGAAGACATAGTCAGTGCTTCTGTTTTGTCAGCAGACATGTTAAGATAATAATGATTTTATTATTCCTCAATTGATAAGTCAGTAATTCTTACTGAGTACTGCTTTGTCTCCAGTCATGTTCAGTGAGACATCTCATGTAAAAGAGTGGAGAGAAATTATGTTAAGAAATTGTCTTCCTTGTCTTTTCAGCTTTTTAATTTTCTTTTTTTTTCTTTTAACAGCTTTTCAAATTTGTTAACTTCAACAGAACAATGAGCCAGTTATCCACCACGATGTCTCGCTGTGTCAAAGATGTCATTGGCTTTGCCATTATGTTTTTTATTATATTCTTAGCATATGCTCAGTTGGCCTATCTTGTCTTTGGCACTCAAATTGATGACTTCAGTACTTTCCAGGACTGCATGTAAGTAAAGGTATAAAAATGCAAAGAAGATTTTGGTGCATTGGTGAATCAGTTGCTTTATCAGAGGCAAATCCTGTGACATCCATCTAAGCAGATAAGATGCAGGTACACTGCTGTTGATATAACCTAGTAGCAAACACATTTTTATCTCAGTGTTATTGCTGTGAGATTAAATAGAGCAGTGAGCTAAAAATAATGGGGCCGGGTTGGTGTGATATGATTTTTATATCAGTTGGTTACATTCCTAGACAAAGCAATGACTTCATGTTCAGTGGTTAAATGTTTCCTGAAATGTTGGATGCACAATAAGGCTGTGTTCCTGATAGTGTTCATAGTTGCTTGACTCAGAGTCCATCTTAGCCAGCCACAAAATCTGTAAGTATCTGGAATCCAGGAGAGAGAGAGGACTTAATATAAGATTGCCAATCATTTTTTCCTTCGATGGTTTGGTGCAACATAACCTGATTGTAACTGAGGCAATTACCAGGTTGTTCAGTCACTGATTTCCCCTGCTCCCTTACACTAGGGCAGTGTTGCAAAGAGTTTCTTGCAGAGAAGTGAAGGAACTGGAAGTATTCTGATGGTGCTGTAAATTGCCAAGCTTCTTCCAGTTTGGAGGGAGAGGGTTGGGGTTGTATATGTGTGAGAGAGATTGGAGTGGGTCTCAGAGCTTCACAGAAGTAATTGTTGGTTTGCTCTGCTTCCTGTTGTGACTGAAAGGGAGAAGTAACCACCATGCTTTTATTCTGTGTGTTGCTCCTGACTGTGAGCTTGGTTATGCCTATAAATGATTAATTGTTTATTAAATTGATTAATTGTTTTTGCAGTCCCTGATAAAGTGTAATAACACTGCAGACCTCTCTGCAGCCCATCAATCACACTACTAGAATAAAATAGTTTGAGAGTCCTTGCACAGCTCCAGTAATATTTTCTACAACTCCTGGATATGTTTTGTTTTTTAAGATTTACTCAGTTCCGCATCATTTTGGGAGACTTCAACTTCACAGAGGTTGAAGAAGCAAATCGAATTTTGGGACCCATTTATTTCACTACATTTGTGTTCTTTATGTTCTTCATTCTTTTGGTATGTACACTTTGTTTATGTGGGGTGGGTCAGTGGCTGTTTTTGCATCACTTATCCTTTGATTCCTCCTCCTACTTTTGGGGCTTTTTCTGCTTATGGTGAGTGTATGGTCTATGAAGGGGTCTGACTGCTACATAGCTGGTCACTACACTCTTTTTTTCCTTGTTTAAAATTGATTTGTATGGTGTGCTTTTTGTCATTCTCATGTAGTGCTCCACATTGTGTTTTTTTAATTTATTATTATTATTTCTTTTATTTCTATAACCTGAACAGTGGCTGGCATACACAACAAGGCTGTCTCTTTTGGTGAAAAGTAGCTGTACTGTTCCATGCAGTCTCTTGGTTCATAAAGTGCTCTGATGTGTGGCTGGCTGTGTTTATAACAGCCTTGTTCCTGCATGCCACACACAACTTTGCCTGCTGCCAGAGCATTCCTTTATCATCATAATTTTTAATGTTATTTAGTGACCCTTATACTTAGTGCAGCTTTTTGTTACTATTTGAGGTGAGGAGGAATGGCATTCAGATTTCATTTGTGGGAAAAGACTTCATCTTGAATGTTCGCTAGTAATGAAGCAGAGAATTTTAAGTGCTTTGTGAGAAATTTAGGTGTTCAGTGAGATGGACCAGGATCCAATGGGAAAATAACATATGTGTCACTATGTGCCAAAGGTTCACGTAAAACAAGTTTCCTATTTGCTTTGTAGCACCTCACACATTCCAGAGGAGCAGTCTAGTGTCCAGCAAGGGAAAGAGATACCTTTTTTCTAAAGGGCAACAGAAAAGCACTGGAAGGTGAAGCAAGAGCAGGTTATCCAAAATACCCACTGCAATTTGTATGTTTTTAATATTTGTAAAGCCTCTCTTTTAGCCTGAATGAAATGTTGATGCAAGTCCTTCAAGACTGGTCTGAGACCTGGAAATTAAGTTAGGGGAGATGGGCAGAAAGCACCAACTTTTAAAGTTGGGCAAAATAGCAGCAAAAAATAGCACAACAGTGAGTTGTCAAGTCACCTCTTACTTCTCTGGTGTTGGGCATGGATGCATAAAGATACACCACTGAAAGATTGTTCCAAAGCATGTTTATTAAATCCATGAGGAAACAGAGGATAACACTGCCTTTCTACATTGAAATGCCAGTAAATTTAGTAACTCTTTTTGAACGTGAGTTTGCAATTTGCAATTCAGTCATGTTTACTCCACATCCAGCAAGAACCTTTCAGTAATGACAGCATGGTCTGATTAAGTTACATGTTTGGCACAGGTTAGTGAGACCAATATTTTCTCCTTTCTCTGAACAAGAAAGAGCTCTTTTCAGAGTTGATGCCATAAATGCCAAGTACCTGATTTTAAGCTTTTTGATTTTATCTTTAGTTTGAAATGCAAGCAGAGTTGTAACCTTTTGTTTGTGCTGGTTATTACAGGATGAATAATTGACTTGATTCCTCAGGCATTTTTGTTGCCAGCTGTGTTGCCTTGATTAATTCACAGCTGTTACATGTGTCACTTTGGCCTTGCAGGGTTTACTGCCACTGCTGTGTGCAGTTGTGAACCCTCTCTGGAAAGTAACTCTCCAATTATGGTTATAACCAGTGATGTTGATTAAAATTTGTTATACTGCAGCACATCATATTTCAATATCAAGGATATTTTTATTAGTAGTAGTATTTAATATCTGGATGTTAGTTTCTTTTTAAACAGACCACCATTTTCTTCTGACCTTTTAAAAAAAAATTCCTGTTAAGGTCGGCACAAGAAGGTCATAGGAGTAGTAGGGCTCAGTCTTGTTGAAATTTCAAGATTTTTGTTTTCTCTTATGAACAGAACATGTTTTTGGCCATTATCAATGATACCTACTCTGAAGTCAAATCAGATATGGCACAACAGAAGGCAGAAATGGAATTGTCTGACCTTATCAGGAAGGTAAATGTCATGTTTTGTTTGTTTGACATCTTACTCCTCACATCTGAACTAATTTCATGAAATACTATATAAGTTGTACAAAGTAAAGCTAGCAGCAGCTGGTGAGAGTACACATCTCAGTTAGAATAAATTAATTTGAGCTGAGTGTGAATTAAATGAGTGAAAACTTCCCATCAGTCATCTGAGACTTTGCCTTGAATGATCACACTGAGATTGTACAGTAGCTGATTTCTGTAATCAGTAAAGTTATTAGAAATCTTGTTTCATGAGAAACAACAGAATTTCACATTTTTTTTAGGGCTACAACAAAGCCATGATCAAGCTTAAACTGAAGAAAACTACTGTTGATGACATTTCAGAAAGTCTGAGACAAGGTGGAGGAAAGCTCAATTTTGATGAACTGCGGCAGGATCTCAAAGGGTGAGGGAGTTGTTCTTACCTCGAACAGTATCCCCAGGGACATGTGATGTTAACTTTTTGATGTGATTTTCCTCTAGCAGAGGACTAATATACACTAATAAGTACACTGATGTGGATAAAGTCACATACCAAAGTATTTTTCTCTGCACTATGGCTGGTGTTGGCATCCCACACTAGAGAAAAGTTCTGGGGCTCTGGGGCCCAACCTCCTTGAATTTGTGTGTTTTGGGGAGAAAAACACAGAAATCTCTGAGGAAGCAGAGACATAAGGCCTTTGAGGAAATGGTAATGTTTCTGTCAGACCATTGCAGGAGTTTGTGGACAGTCAGGAGTCCAAGGCAAGGGTACAGATCGAGGAGCTATAGAAGGAAGTTGTGAAGGAGAAAGGTTAAATGTAGGGAAAATTGGTGCTTTAACTAATGAAGGGTAAGGACTGAGGGGTTTTTATCAGTGTTGTGAATTTATAGACAATGTGGGGATGTCTTTGTCTTGAGGATGAAAGTCTGCCTGAATTGTTTTCTAATACACAGAGTTCTTTCAACATCTGAAAAATGGAAAGTAAAGGAGCTACTTTTACTGCCTTTTCAGGAAGGGGCACACAGATGCAGAGATTGAAGCAATATTTACCAAATATGATCAGGATGGGGACCAGGAATTGACAGAGCATGAGCATCAGCAGATGAGGGATGACCTGGAGAAAGAGAGGGTGAGCTCAGCTGTACTGTTTCTTGCCTCAGAAAAATCCTTGTCTCCCTTCAGTTTTGCTGTCATTCCTGACTGACTGAGCAGACCTGAAAGAGGCACAGGGGACCTGACAGAGGACAGGAGCTCTTTGACCTTGACACCACCATCTCCCATGTACAGGTGAAAGCTGTTACATCTTTTCTCTCTCTCTCTGGCTTGTGTTTCCACAAAGGAGGATCTGGACCTGGATAGGAGCTCTCTGCCACGTCCTCTGAGCAGCCGCAGCTTCCCCCGGAGCTTGGATGACTCTGAGGAGGATGAGGATGAAGACAGTGGGCACAGCTCCAGGAGGAGGGGCAGCAGCTCTAGTGGGGTTTCCTATGAAGAGTTCCAAGTGTAAGTTTATCCTTCTGAGGGGGACAAAACTGAGTGTTGGGTTTTGGTTGTTGTGAGGTTTTTTACATTGTGGATTTTCTTCTGTGGGTTATATAGATTCTCTTCTTCATATTAATCAAATTATTAAAAAAGCAAGTGTTATGATTTTTTGTACATAAGTCACTCTTTTTATTAGCTTTTGAATAATATCTGAAGTGGAAGTGCCTTAGAGAGCCTCATGGGAGTTGGTTAGAATATAGAAAATCAGAACAAATGAAAAAAAGCCTAGCAACAAAACCCCTCTCATCATTGAAAAGTCAGAGAAAAGGGTCATGTTACAATAATGCCAGAGAAGACTTTTCTGGTTTTTAAAGTAGTAAACTCTTGAGTTTATTTTAGGTTCAGTGAGAAATTTAACAGTTGTTTTTAATAAGATCAGGTTATTTGTGAGTGTGTATTTTGTCTGAAAGTATAGATCTCCATATTAATTAATTGCAGCAAGACTAGCTGAATAAAGAATTGTGTAACTGGAACCAACAAATTTTCGTGATGGTTTGTGACCAATCAAGATCAAGAGCAGTGAGAGCAGAGTGCAAGATGTACCTTTTTTCCCCATGTGCCTCTGCTTTACTTTCTTGCTCTGATGTACCTTGTCCCTCCTGGACGGTAGGACTGGTTTGTGGGAAGCCAGAGGCGTGCTTGGATAACAGTGGTGTCTCATCCTTGTCTGCTGTGTGTGTTGACATGCCAGAAGGTTTCTGGCTGGGCAGTGTCTGGGTCACTGAAGTGCCATTGTTGCCCTCAGACTCATGAGGCGGGTGGATCGCATGGAGCATTCCATCGGCAGCATCGTCTCCAAGATCGATGCCGTTATCGTCAAGCTGGAAGCCATGGAGAGGGCCAAGCTGAAAAGGAGAGATGTGTTGGGAAGGCTGTTAGATGGAGTGACAGAGGTAAGGAACTCACTCTCTGTGGTCTGGTCATAACCTGTATGTCTTCCTTTCTGTTGGCAATCCTTCCTTGGCAGGAATGCAGGAGTGGTGGTAAAGAGGAGGTGGGTGCTTTGGCAGTGATTTCAATTAGGTGCTAGGAAAGCTTGAAATTTAAAGCATGGAATTTTGAGTCAAGATTCAGACGTGACAGTATGTCTTACAGCAGGCCTGTGACACGGTTTAAACCTATGATCTGGACAGCAGTGGTGTTTCACTGAAGCAGCTCTTCCATCCCTTGGTGTCTGAGAGATTAATACAATATTTTTTGTGGACTAGTCTTTTAGAATCTATGGGATCCAGCTCTGTCTGCTCTTATTCTCCTTTGTTGCTTCTTGGACTGTGTGGGCAGATGGGAGTAGGTCGCTTCTGTCACCAGGGTTACCTGACTTCTCCTGCTTCACCTTTCACTCTCTCTTTCCTGAGGGCCCTTTGGAAGTGGCCATTGGGAGAAATGTGTTATTTCTGTAGATGCTAAAATCTGTGGAATACAAGTTTTGCATTCCTAGGTCGCAACCTGGGCATTTCATCCCTGGAAATAAAACTATTTGCTATGGGAGCTGTTTCCCCATTAGCCTATGGAAATACTCAAGTGATATTATCAACACCTTAATGAAGGGATAGGACCACTGTTGGGCTAAAAATAATTTATTACTCAGAAAAACATCAGCCTCAAAGGCTGAGATTTTAGAGGAGCAAGAAATAGGCCATAGCTCAAAGTAGTCACAAGTTTCTTCATTTCAAGGCAATATATAACATTCTTATCCAATGGAAAGTTGCTTCAAAGTTTATTTTGTTTTGCTAACCTATGGCCTTTACTTAATTCTGCTGCACTGTGTATACTTCTATCCAATGGGTTACTACTACACCTACACACATATGCTTCTATTATAACATTTAAACTCTTAGCTTACTCTATACAATTACATTACTACACTATAAAACTTTTCACCACCTTACCCAATAGAGTTTCTTCCTTACTTTAGGCATATTCTTACTTACAACTATAGAAACACAAGTTTATAATTTCTCTGCTAAATGTCTGCGTACTTTTATTTTTACATCAATCCAAGTTTCTTCCAAGGCTGTAAATCAAACCCTTCAGTATCTGTGGAAGTTTCTATCTTCCCATTTCCTATAAAGAGATATAAGAATTTCCTGTGGTTGTGTAGGGTTTTGCCTAGACTGTAGTTTGGAAGCTGCACTGTTACAGTAGTGGGTGTTTTTGCAACACTTAATTAGTGGCTTGTCTTAAGTCTTTCTGTCTTCACTCAGAGCCAGGATTAAAAAATACACGAAGGAAACATTTTCTCGTGTTTGGGCTTGGTTGTTTGTTAAATCTTACCAAAAGTACAGAATGTTTAGTAACACTTCTAGCTACCAGCTAGAAGCGAGCAAAGTGGAGACAGATCCAGCTACTACAAGGTCTCTTAAAGCTAAACAGTCCAATAAAGAATTAACACCTATATTATTTATCCTTTTAACCCAATAACTGACTTCCCAAGACCCTCAGTGCAGCACTAACTGTCCAACCAGAACCTACTACCTGAAACCATGAAGAAGGAAGATGAGCACCAAAAGAGACACCACCTCAAATCCTCCATCTTGTCCCATACCTATTTCTGTGTTATAAAACCCTCAAATTTAAAACTCTTTAGCATGTGAAAACACACACTTCTAGTTAATTACACACCCGTGATTTTAACTCCATCACTCAAATTTAGAAACCTTCTCCAGATCAAAAGCAGTGTTCTCCTGGGGGTCAATGCCTGACAACACAGAAAGCTCAAAAACCCGGATTTCTGGGATCCAACACTGCACTTCCAGCTTGTGTCTTTTAATGTGTTCAGGATGAAAGACTGGGCCGGGACAGCGAAATGCACAGGGAGCAGATGGAGCGGCTGGTGCGGGAGGAGCTGGAGCGCTGGGAGTCGGATGACACGGCCTCCCAGATGAGCCATCGGCTGGGAACGCCGCTGGGGCTGAGCGGGCAGCCTCGCTCCAGGAGCTCCAGGCCATCCTCTTCCCAGTCTGATGGCCTCGATGCAGCAGCAGCAGCAGCAGCTAACGGGGGCAGCAACATCCACGTGTAGCTCTGGAGGTGATTCCAAATGTTCCAGGTCAGTATTTGAGAAGATGAAGAACTGGACACTGCATGGCTCAATATGAATCAAGCAAATGCCACTTTATTGCTCTCCTCTAACCCTTATGTACAATTTTTCTCCCCCTGCACTCCATCATGCAACTTCTCATCGGTAGAAGCCTTCTTGCACTAGGCAAAGATTTTTTTGTTAGACTTTTCCACCTTTCATTGGCTTCCAAGTTCCTTGGCATTCCCCTATCACCTTCAGCTCTTCTTGTCTTGCCCCTTGTTTTCTTGTTAGGCTGCAGCTGTTCTTATCTCTTTTTCAAGAGCAAAGCTACAGGCCTAGCTCAGGCTCATAAAAACACTCTTATGGGATGTGTTAGCTACATATCTGTATCACTACGTTGTTCACTACATATCCTTTTTTCCCTAAAAGCATTCCCATAAGTATTCAGCCAACAAATCCCCCAGCATGACAGGATGGTTCTGATCAGACCACTGAGGACATTTCACTGGTGGGGAAAAAGGTAAATATTCACTCCAGAAATCATTTTGAGGCCTGTGTAAGCCATGTGTAATGCCAGCAGTGAGAGTGAAACAGCCTTGGAAACTGAATGGATATCAGGTGGGACAAAATCTACCAGGACAAAAATCTGATTCTTAAAAAATATTATTGGGAACGCTTGCACAAGGGCAGCAAGCTTCAGACAAATAAGGTGAAGTGGCTGGCACGCTAAAAGGCTATTAATTTTTTGCTTCCTTTTGGAAAGTACAATTTTTAAACGCTTTTAAAAGCAAATTTTAAAATAATATGGCATCAGTTTGTCTTATTCATTATAACAGCTGACAGATAAAACAGCACTTTTTTTAAGATATGAGTTTCTACTTGTCATTCTGAGATATTCTTGGTATACTAATATTTTACTTAATTTAAAATATTCTTTTTTTCCTGTTTTGAGAGGTACATTTCTTTAAGCAGAAGAAAGTGCACTTAGTTTGTACAACTGTAAATTAGAACATTCTGTGGTAGAAACTGAATGCATTATAATTAGCATTTCAGAAAAAATATTTGAGAGCTGCCTCTTCACACCCAACTAACAAAATAATTTTCAGCTATGTTGCAAAGTGCCCGTTTTTTAATGCTGTGTTTTCATGATTTGAGTATTTCGGAGATCAACATTCCAGTGGTTCTTAGATAAATACAGCTACTTTGCAGAAAATACATTATTTAAAAGCACAGAAAATTGAAAAACACTTAAGTTTTCCTTGGGTGTGACAGGGAAAGGGGCAGAGAAGTTTCTGACAGTTGGGAAAATCTGATCTTGTGCCATGTGAAGTTCTAATCACATCTCAACTATGTGGTCTGTATTTACATTTATCTAAACTGCTTGTAAAATTATTAGGTACATTTCAACATAGACTTTTCTGCTGAGGTGCAACACAGGTTTCCTTTGGGAAGGTGTTTGTAGTATAATCACTGATTTTTGGTATTTCATTCCCTCTGCTTTGTGTCATAGAAGCTTTATTTTTGAAAAGGACGTGCAACATTGAAATTCTGTTGGTTTGCTATGGAGAACACCGAGGCAGTGCTTGGAGTTTTGCCCAGCAATGTTTCCATATGTGGAATGCTGGTTTAGGAGCGAGGCTGTCAATTGTGCTCTTGTCCTGAAGATGGCAGCTGTCTGGTGCTTAAAGGCTGAGAGCTGAAAAAGATAATGGAGAGCTACATAATCAACCACATCTCAGCTATTGCTAGGGTATAGAGATGAAAAAAGGTCAGTTTAACAAACTATAAGTAGCCTATGTTATGTTGGTGCCTTCTGTTACAACAAGCAGTTATCTCTTCATTCTTGTGGAAGAAGGCAAAGCTTCCATGTTCCATATATTCTTGCAATGGCATTGCCTGGATGAGCAGTGGCTCAGAATGCCTTTCCTCTAACCAAGGAACTTGCTAAAACTAAATAGAATTCACACCTTTCCATTTTTAATTTTATGAGAAAGCATATGCACAGAAACCTAATTAATTTAAGGTGGAAAAGGAGGAAATTCAGTCTTGAAATTTCATAGTAGTTGTGTCTTGGGAACAGAATTATGGAGGAGAGCAGGTTGTGGTTCTTGTGTGGGTTATTTTGTCCTGTATTGGGAAGAAATTCTTACCCTTTCACGAGAGTGTTCATGAACTTGCCAAAACAGTGCTCAGCACAGTGGGTAGGGCATTTGTGTGGGATGAGGGCATTCAGATTAAGCTCTCTCTTACCTTTATTGAGGTATTTATTAAGGGTTTTACACCTCAGAAACCTTTCTGAGGAAAGCTTTTCAGTGTTGAGCTGCATTTCTGACTGTAAACAAAGACCAAAAAGAAACACCAGCTGTACACGTGGCCAGCTGGTGTGCAAGGAAAAGAGAAAATATGATACCAAAGCAAATTAAATATACAGAGCCTTGTCTTTATATTCATATCCAAAAGGTGTCTTTCAAAATGTAAATTCAGCCACTCAGTTCACCTTTCTATTGTATTATATGTTTATTATGAAAGTGTTTGCTTTAGTAGCTGTATTTGTTGGGGTGTATTTCTGTAACATGTTGTTACTTGATAACAAACTTCATCTTGAAGTGCAATAAGTTTCCATGGGGTACCCGTGTGTGTTGACAGTGGGCCTTGCAGTAAGTGCATTGCCACTTGACAAATGTTATAAACATTTTATTGATGCATTTTTCAGTTTTAGGTTATAATATCATTTGTCACTTATTATAAAGGTACAGTTTTTTGCATAGTAATGTACAGTGTTTGGTCTTATTAGGAAGCTGTTAATTATGCAATTCTTCTACAATGATCAAGAATGTATTGATCTGTCAAACTGAGCACTTTATTTCCTAATAAACATTTTATATAATCTACAAAGCAAACATTGTGCCTACACTTGGTTTGTTTATAATGGAACATGAAGAATCCTACATTTTATTTGTGTTGCTTTTATCTCATACCTTATTCTCAGATTACCTAATAAAGAGAGTAGAGGGTGTAAATGAACACAGAGGACTAGGCTGATCCTACTGCTTCATTGCCCAAACAGTTCTTTTTTAACACTTTATTTCACATTTGTATTTCTGCAAATGCACAGATCTGCTTTCTGCTATTTTAGGTAGCAGCTCCCCTTGCTAATAACTGTCTCTTCATTATTTACTGTGTAATTTAAGTCTTTTTTTCTTCTCTGTTCCCCCTTTATTTTTTGCCTTGTTTCAAGAGGGAATACCACAGCATCTGGAGGGTCTGAATAGAGCTTGGAAAGCTCAGGCTCCCATGTATGACCCATAGTTCTCTCTGGACAGCTCCATTAATGTATACATTATGACATGTATACATCATGACAGCTGTATTACTGAAAACAATGATTAATGTAAATACATCTCAATTTGAATGAAATACATGCA